GATGGAGAGACAAGCACTTCCAGGAGCTGAGCCATGCCATCCACAATGTCCAGGGTGGCACTCCGCACCAGCTTTCTCAGGGTGATTCCTGCGGCAAAACCCAAACAGTAAGTAGCCTGGTCATTTCCTATGTCACTACCTGCTTTCTGGATTCCTAGCATTACAGACACCTACATGCTTCACCTCACACACCAGTACAAGACTCAAGTCTTACGTGCATTCTTACGTCATTTTATTGCCCCTCTTGCCATTCCTTAGAGCCGTTCTCCAACAATTTTGGAGTCTTCCCATGTGTATTCTTTCATTAAAGACACTGGCCCTTTGATAACAGTGGACAAAACACTGGAAGTTTAAAACATTTGGAAGTAACCCTGATGAACTATGACATGTTTCATTTACTTCCTCAGCACAGCTTCAATGAAGGTATAAATCTGCAGGTCAGGCTGGTGGGCACGTGCCTTGTGAAGGGTCTCAAACAGGGTATGGTATAAGGCTAGGTGGAGGAGGGTAGGGATGGCCTTGGCATAGGTATGGAGCTGAGATTCAGCAAGCATATATAATAGTCAGAATGGACTGGAAAGAAAGTGAATTGGGGCTGACAAGGCAGCCTATTTGATAAAGTGACACTGGAGTTTAATTCCCAGAACCCACATGAGAAAGGCAGGCACAATGGAGTGTTCCTATAATGCCAACGCTGACAAAGCAGGGATAGGAGGCTCTCTGGGAAATCAGAGAGCTCCAGTGAAGACTCTCTTAAAAACACAAGGTGCTGGCCTCTGCATGTACTCATATACACATGCATGAGCACCTGAATACACACATGCACCTATGTATGCATATACACACAGACACAAATAATGAATGCTTTTTATAAGGGGTCAGTTGAGGTTCATGGTTCAGCATGTAAGAAAGAGCACTGGCTGCTCTCCTGGAGGAACAGGTTCAATTTCCAAACCCACATGGCAGTTCACACTGTCTGTAACTTCAGTTCTAGGGCATCCAACACCTTCTTCTGACCTCGGCAGGGATCAGACATGAAGTGGTACACAGACATACATGCAGGCAAAACTCCTATACCCATCAAATAAATAATAACGTTTTAAAGTAACTGGTTGAGGTGGCTCAGGAGGTAAAAGAACTTACTGCACAAGGCTGATGATCTGAGTTTAATCCTAGGAACTCACAATAGAATGAGAGAGCACATCCCCATGTGTATCTACACACACACGCGCGCACGCACGCACATACATACACACACACATACTTTCTAAAGAATCAGACAAAGCAGTAACAGTGGAAAATTACATGTGTATAGCATCTGTACTGTAGCACATGGAATGCTACAGAAGCCACTCACATTATAAAATTACCTTTGACTATTTTACGGGGGAAAGCCGCATGCTCAAAAGTGAAGAAAAATAGACATGTATAATATGTTTACACATAAACATATAATGATATTACATTAAAGATAAACATGTATAATAATGTTACATATTGATAAATATTGTTTACATACTAATATGCAACACCAGGATATGTCTACTACCTTAAAGGCCTAGCCTATAAATGCAACACTACTGTGCATACAGTGACTTACCCTGATCCTTAGGAAGTGAATAATATACTGCAATAATTTCCTCAATGGCAACATGGATATGTTCACAGATTCTCTGGCTTTCCTAGAGGTGATAGACAAATTCAGAATGAATAGAGCAAATGCTCAATACCAATACTGCCAGCCCATTCACTAAGGAAGAAATCAAACATCTATAAAGTATGAACAAATGTCTCTGAAAGCCTATTATGAGTCAGTGCCCACCTAACAGCTCACAACCATCTTTAACTCCAGTTCCAGGGGATCCAGTGCCTTATTCTGCCCTCCACTGGCACCAAGCATACAATTCATGTAAACATACATACAGGCAAAACACTCCTAGACATGAAATAAAAATAAAAACTTAAATAAGACAACCTACTCTGAGTTCATGTAGCTCTAGGGAAATGTGACACGGGACATTCCTGATGGCAGCTAATAACTAGCTTTACTTTTCGTTACATAATAAAGGATTATTTAAAATGCATTCATTCTTTGTTCCTGTAATTTCACCTCTGGAATTTTCTTCTATCAACACACATGTACACAAAAATACATCTGACAATTTTACAGAGCCATTTATAATAGGTGCAAGTGGGGAGCAGTTTAAAAGTCCCCCCCCCAGTACTGTTTATGTTACGGCTATACTCACTTACTTCATATCAAGCATTACAAAACTGGGCAAAATTTTATGTGCCACTAAGAATCAACTTCTAAATTACATTAATTTTTGGAAGGTCTAGAACAATATTTATAGTATCTAACCATTGCATTGTGTGAAAAGAAACACACACACAGAGATGTATCTATGCATAAAAGTGTAATACAGAAAGAAATGGGAATGAGACAGAAGGATGGACTGAGGTGGGAAGATATGCATTTCAGTGCACTTTGGTTATCTTTTGAACTTTATAATAACCACATATTAATAATTAAATAAAATAAATAGGCAAACGAACGATTTAATACCAAAGGGTTTTATGTAACAGGTATTACTTAGATACTTCGTAGATTTTTTTGTTTGTTTTAATTTTTTGTTTGTTTGTTTGTTTTGCTTTTCCAAGACAGGGTTCCTCTGTAGCTTTGAAGCCTGTCCTGGAACTAGCTCTTGTAGATCAAGCTGGCCTCGAACTCACAGAGATTCGCCTGCCTCTGCCTCCTGAGTGCTGGGATTAAAGGCATGCGCCACCACCGTCCAGCTGCTTCACTGACTTTTAACTCCACCTCCTTCATTTATTACTCTTTACCCGAGTCTCTAAACCTGCTTGCTCATCTGTCAGATGGGGACTGTGTATGGGAAATAGATATAAATCAAAAAAGGGCTTTTAAAATTACGAGGAACTAACCTGAGTTTCAAGTTGAATTTAGAAGACCTTTCTACCCTACTATGCACTTGGCTATCTGATCTTCACAATACTCCCGTGCGGCAAGAACTATAATCTCATTTGATAAATGGAGAAAATAAATGTGACTTGAGTGTAAAAGGAGAGAGGAAAACTAGAAGCAGCACAAAAATTCCAGGAAATAATTGAGGTCCTTTGGGGCCTCACCCTTGGCAGCAAAAAAAAAAAAAAAAAAAAAAAAAAAAAAAAAAAAAAAAAAAAAAGAAGTAAAGTGTCCATAGGTGTGTCGACTTAAAAAAAAAAATTCCAGGAAATAAAGCTCACCCGAGGAGATGGCAGTGGAAGTCGGGAAAACAGTATGGTCAGAATCGTGGCTTCCTCTGACAGGTTCACTGCTGCCTCATCTGGGGGTGACAGAGGCGGCGGATGCCAAAGTTAATGTTAAAAGATTGAAGCTGCAACTGCTACACGGCCTTCTTAAGACTTTTTAACGCGTCCCTTCTCCACCCTTATCATCATAAACAGCTCCAAAACAACTCCAGAAATCGTTTTATATTTCAGCTTCAAGTGCCGAGGATGAGTAGCAGAAGGGATGAGGAGCGGGAGGATTGTCATCCTCCGGGGACAGGAGAGGGGAAAGGAGATGCAGGGAGAGTTGAGGAAAGAGTCTGCAGCGGCAAAGACACTCACTAAGTCTTCTCCAAAACATCTCTCGATTAAATTCCTCGGTTGTCTCCTGGGCTTCGCCGACTTGAGAGTGTAGCGTGGGAGGCCGGGCCACCCGGAAAGCAAAACACAGATGAGCGGAGCCCTGACTTGACGCCCGACCGCCCTACCCGGAGCCCCGGGCCTCAGATTCCCACAACTCACCCCGCACTCGAGGCAGAAGCGACCGCAGCTCCGCTGCTAAGTGCCGGAGCTGCTCCAGAGGAGGAGCAAGGAAAGGGACTGCGGCTGCCGAGCTCGCCATCACAGCCTGTCACAGGTACGAATCAGGACGCTTAAGCCATTGAGCCCCTGTCGCTGTACTTCCGGTGCCGAAAACAACTCTCGCTTCCGGCAACACATATCGCGCCCCGCCCCTTCCTCCCCAGTGACGCGACCCCGCCTGCCCGGACAGGCGGGCCACCAGTTTACGCCTCCGCCCGGCTAGAGACCCGCCTACCCCTGTCAGACCTAGCGATCAGGCCGCGCCTCCTCTCCCTCCTAGAGGCCCAGCCACGCCTCCTTCGCCTGGCTTCTGCTTGCCAGCGTGCCCGGCCCTGACCCCCTCCATCGCCCCACCTTTTGAAGTTCCAGCCTTGCGTCTTCTGACCTACTAGATACCGGTTTTGGTTTTTTTTGTTGTTTTGTTTTGTTTTGTTTTGTTTTTGGTGTGTGTGTGTGTATCTTGAGTTTTTTGCCTGCAAAGTATGTCTATGGCGGCCCCGTGGTGACTTTCCAAGCCCCAGACACCAGGCCTCTGGTTCCCAATGAAGGTCCGTTTGTGACATTTCTTTCTTTTTAAATTTTTTTATGTGCATTGTTGTTTTGTCTGCAAGTGTGTCTGTGTGAAGGTGTCATATCCTCTGGAACTAGAGTTACAAACAGTTGTGAGCTGCCATTTGGGTGCTAGGAATTGAACCTGGGGCCTCTGGAAGAACAGTCAATTCTCTTAATCACTGAGCTATCTCTCCAGCTCCGATATTTCTTTCTTTTAATATTTATCCTTTTGGCCGGGCGGTCACACCTTTAATCCCAGCACTTGGGAGGCAGAGGCAGGAGGATCTCTGTGAGATTGAGGTCATCCTGGTCTACAAGAGCTAGATCCAGGACAAGCTCCAAAGTCATAGAGAAACCCTGTCTCGATAAAAAGATTATCTTTTATTATTTTTAAATTATGTGTATGTCTATGCACAAATGAATCCAGGTACCTGCAGAGGCTCTGGCCTGGAATCAGAGTTATAGGGAGTTATGAATCACTTGACATAGTTTCTGGGAATTGAACTCAGTTCCTCTAAAGGTGAAGTACATGCTCTTAACCATTGAGCTATTTTTTTTCCAACCAGATATTTGTGATATTTATCATTCATTCATTTATTCGATTAGTTGAAAACGGCCCCGACTAAGGAAGCAGAAAGCCCATAATCCATGGGAAAACAGGCTGGGAAGTAAAATTTCAAGAGTGGTCAAGGTCCAGCCCAAGTCTCCACAGGTTCGCTAGGCGTAAAATGGCACCCTGGACAATTGCTGAATTCAAGGCTTGGGCTGAATGCTTTTCACAGGATGACCCTAACAAACACAGTAGTGCTGAGGTACTCAGTAACAGAGACCCCCCTACTCTGGGAATCTCCTTGATCAGGGCTCTTTGCCTCCCGAGGAAGAATCAATTGTTAGGTGTTTCTGCAGTCCACACTGCACGGATCAGTAGTTAACGCTTCCACCATCCAGATGTTCAGGACTGACAGCTTCCTGAAGCTCACCCGCTGACACCAGCTTTCCGTCTGCCACTGGGGCAGAGATCTGGGCTACCAATGTGAAGACTGGACTTCTGCCAGGCTGCCAGCTGTTCGCCATGGACTTCAGGAGCTCAGATGGCTTTTTAACTGCACCACGAATGTTCCAAGTTTAGTGGAGTTCAATGTCCACACATAACGAATGAGTACAGGTGTCAGCAATGTCAGCCAGGTCCGCAGTGGGGAGAGGAAAAAGGCTAGAGTGCCGTAAGTCACATGAAGAAAGTAGCAAGAATAAACCTGCCACATGTACAGGAGAAGCATAAGCAGGTAAATGGATATAATCTTCCAGTGTTTCCCTTGGTGGAGATGAGACTTGAAGCTGTAACCAAAGCACCGCTGTAGCAAGCTCCAACACATGTAAGCCATCAAGGGGATGTTAAAAAATACCAGCTAGAAAAAGAGACAGAACATTAGCTTACCACCACGCCCTACGAGGGGTCTAGTCTCATTATAGTAGCTTCTACTAATAGATCTTTAGTTAGGTGTCCAATTGCCTTTTCTTGGAGGATGGGGTGATAGGG